CATATACACATATATATTTATTTTTCAACATTTTCCTTGGTGACAGAAACATTTTATGTTTAAAATGTACCCAGTATATTGCTATCATATATACACATAGATCAACCCAAAATGTACAGTAAACATATGTAGCTTAATTGCTTCAAAGCGTCTTAGCGTAAAAAAAATTGAAAAAAAGTCCAGCGCTATTAATTATGAAATACTTGTAGTTTCCAGAGCTTATAATTTTTTCATAGTATATTTCATGAATTTTTATAAACATTGTTTTGTTTTTATAAAGCAAAATAATGCATAAGAACTTTTTTCTAGATATTTAAGTACTACATGATATTTGATGAAAGAAATGTGTATTTGCAGAAAGATGACTCCTAGAGACAGAAATGTCTTCATAATCACAGCAAAACAGTTATAAGCATCAAATCATTTTGAAGATTCTCTAACCTAGAAATGGACGAATGTATGTTGCAACAGGCAGGAGAAAGTGTTTCTGAGGGCAGGATTCTTATTTCAGTAGGCACAGTTATACTTGTTCTAGGTTTTTAAATCTTCTTTTCCAGGACTTTATACATTTTTATATTTTAAAGAATTCTTTCTTTTAATTTCCTGTAATGAGAAAATGAGAGTTTCATTTACTGGGCTGTTCTTGTTTTCCCCATGATATGTAAAAACACATAGCAGGAAAGGCAAACTATTACACCCAGGGACCCCTTAACAGAATGTTGTCCACAGGGTCAGAGCAGAATCTTTCTACAGTTGTCTTGGCTTTCAAACGATCTGGCTTGGACAACACAGGTCATAATATGGAACTAATCTGTAACCTACCTTGATGATAAGGCGCGCCTGCTTTGATTTGGGATTCAAGCATCGTTGTCCTTTATGTGCTTTCAGAGTGATACTGTCAAGGGAAAATATAAAAGAGTCTTAACGCTTGGATGGAAAAACATAAAAATGCCCCCCCCACGTCTCCTTTAGCAAGTTCATTACTTACATCACTTCCAGTTTGTCACAGTTGTTATCTGGGTAAATTATGGAGGCTTTCTCAATATTTCCCACTTTCACTGCTTTTAATAGTGTGTCTGGGCAAAGACAACGTCCCCTTTTGAACATGGGGAAGCCTAGAACAGATGGTAGCATTGGTTAGTAATGCATGTGATTGCAACAGATGGCTGTGGTTTATATTTCTAGGTGGGTAGATTGCCTGAGCTCAGGAGTTCAAGACTGGCCTGAGCCAGAGCAAGACCTTGTCTCTAAAAATAGTCGGACATTGTGGTGGGCCACAGTGTAGTTCCAGCTACATGGGAGGCTGAGGCAAGAGAATCACTTGAGCCCAAGAGTTTGAGGTTGCTGTGAGCTGTGATGCCAAGGCACTCTACCGAGGGCAACAAAGTGAGACTCAGTCAAAAAAAAAAAGAAAAAAAGAAGAAAGAAAGAAAAGAAATGGCTCTTGCTAGATATTGTAGCCAGATCAAAAACTCCATAAGTTTATCATTGCTAGTTTCAGATCCTCTCTAATGCCTTAAACATTTCCAACTTTTCCTTACCAAAGCTATAGTAACTTCTAATATGTGACAGATAAAAATTTATCTTTTCTTTGGGGATAAAGTGGAAAAAAAGACTTTTGAAATGTTAGAAAAGGAATTTATAGGCTTAGAAGTAAAAAGTGTCATATACCTTGAATAGTTGCAGCATAGACTATCACGGCCAAGGCTACAGCCACGCCCTTCACCCTCATCTTTGTTGCTGCTGCTTCTGCTTCAGCTTTGATACTCTTCTTGAAGAGAGTGGAAGTGCTGAGCATGAAAGGAGATTCTTAGCTGGGTTCTTCTTAGAGAGCATTTATACACCAACAATCCTCTATGGAATTTCCCTCCTCGAGTCATGCTCCTTTCTTCCAAGATTTCTGTTTGTTCTCATACAGATGTCACTGTCTTTTCCTATTTTGTTTGTGTTGAAAGTAATACGAATGTGAAAGCCCTTTGTAAAGAGTAAATCACTGTATAAATGTGGAATAACTGTACCCAGATGGAAACCACCCTTCCTAAGGTTGCTTTCCTAGAAATGCATTGATGGATGACTGTAGGCAATGGACTTCAGATTACCTTTCATTCAGGAAGGTTGTCAGTCCTTTCACTTTCAACTCTTCACAAAACTATACAAAATAAATTCTTTAATTTTTTTAATCATCTGACTTCTGGCTTTAAGTTCAAACTCTTATAGATAAGGCCTGCATCATTTGACACCAGGCAACCTTTATTTAACTTTGTATTTTTATAATTGCATGTCTAAGGAAGTCTCCCTGTATTTCAGTATTTATTTCTTTTTGCATTTTTAACAATTTTCACTTTATGCATATTTTAGCACTTTTATTTATTTCATAAAGTTGTATGAGTTGTGTTCTGGGTTGTAAAAAAATGGTCCTTTTTCCTCGTGTGATGCTTGTGCTTCGTAGATTCTACTTTAATGTAATCCCTGTTTGTTTGCTTTTTTGTTTTTTGTTTTGTCTTTACCTTTTCCTCTTAAGCTTTCTAAATCTCTAAGTGTGTCACTTGTAGACGCTTAAGAAAATCACATTCAAGGAACTTTCTAGTGCTTAAGTTTAGTACAGTATGTTTACTGTGTAACTGGGCATCTGGGATTTTTCATTCTTCTTTGCTGCTGGTTTGTAATGTTTTCTTTGATGTCTAACTTTAAATATATTTTCTTTAACTTTTTCTTAAATGTGATTTGAAAGGAATGCATTGCTTTATGTTTTTGTATTCCTAAAATTTTTTTTAATTACCTGAATTTTTAAAATTTATACCAATTATAAAGATAAGAAAATCACTGTAACTTTCTTTCAAATATTTTGTCCTATTTCCTCATTTAATTTGTATAATCTGAGATTTTAGAGCTAGTTTATTATTTTCAGATTATTTTATATTATTCAATTGTTTTGAGAATTATTGTTTGTGTTTTATCTTGAAATCAGATGTTTATTTTGGTGGTGCCTGTGGTTCAGTGAGTAGGGCACTGGCCCCATGTACCGAGGGTGGATGGTTCGAGCCCAGCCCCAGCCAAACTGCAACAAAAAAATGGCTGGGCATTGTGGCAGGTGCCTGTAGTCCCAGCTCCTTGGGAGGCTGAAGCAAGAGAATCGCCTAAGCCCAGGAGTTGGAAGTTGCTGTGAGCTGTGATGCCACAGTACTCTACTGAGGGGACAAAGTGAGACTCTGTGTCTAAAAAAAAAGAAAAAATTTATTTAAACATAATCCTGCATTTAAATTACTTTAACAACACTTCCAGTCTTTACAACCTCTGATATTATAATCTCTAATATTTTACAGTATTTATTCTTTCCTAAGAATAACAGATAACATCACCTGTTTTTCAGCATTAACACAAGCATACTTAATGAAAGATTGGATGATACTGCTGTAAGATATAAAAAATATTCTAAATTCTAATAACTGTAAATGTCAAAATAATACATTAATCATGAAAATCACTTATAGAAAGTGAATGAACACAATAGCATGGTTCAAAACATATAGACAAACAATCGTGAGTGTTTCGGCTTACCAGCTAAAGTTATGTTGTCATGTAGCTTTGGTGGAAGACAATTTCTTAAGTGGAGATTTTCAATTAATTTTTTAAAACCCTATAAATGGACATTATTTAAAATTTTTCATATCATACTATAGTAAATGCATATAATTCAAATCTACATAAAACATGACTAAACTCTATTCCTTTGCCCTCACGTGTGAATTACTACTTGTCTGTCTAGAAAACTTGTGGGTCACAGTTTTTTCCTCAGGGTTCTGTGGATGCTGTTTTATTATCCTCCTGACTACAAAAGTAATACCTGATACTGTAAAATCATTGGAGAATCTGCACAATGAAGAAGACTAGTCCCCCAGAGGTAACCACTCTTTTAGGTTTGTTCCTCTTTGAGTACACACCGCACATACTTTTCACCTGACAATTCCACCTCTGACCGCAGGCCTCTTTCTTCCCTGTGTGTGAGGATACTCTATTTATAGAGACTTCAGGAAGAGTCCGGGGAGAAGATGGGAGCTGGCTAAAAAGATTTGGGGAGTCAGAGAAAAACATAAAAAAGAAGAAAACCAAAAACAACAACAAAAAGGGAAGCAAAAAAACTTGTCTTCCTCTCCCCAGCAGTCTGTGGGGAGGGTGTGATACTAGAATAGGAGGGCTGTCCCTTCCCTCTGGATACTGTCTGGTCTGATTGTCCTCAGAGCTAAATCACGGTTTGGATGCTAAGGGAGGTTTCAGGTGATAAATCCAAAATTAGAGAGACTTGGAGGAGGGATTGGTTTTGGGTTGTAACCTTTTCCCCTCATTTCCTAGAACTACATAAAGAGTCACCCTAAGTAAGGCTTCGGGAGGTGCCAACGTGGGCACAGTCTCCTTCTCTTTTCTGCCACCTCCTCCCAGTACTCCTGCCTTACAATTTCCTGGAAAGTACCACCCTTTTCTACAGCAGCTCCTTTGCCCTCTTACTCATTCGACAAATGTTTGTTGTAGGTGTCTGTCACATGCCCAGCACTCTTACAGGTATTGGAGGTGGGACAGTGAACAAGATCAGTCAGGTTCTTTGTGGTGCCTTACAGTGTTTGCAGCTTTCTGCTTTACTATAGAACACAGTCTGCCTGCTTTCTGCTGGCTCTGTAGATGTGTGGGATCAGCTCTGTCTTCAGGATTGTGACTCGTTCTGGCCTAAATCCTTTCTGATATCACATGAGGAAGATTAATTTCTTTCAGAAAGTTCTCAGAGCTGGTGAGCCTGAGAAGTCCCTACTGTTTATATAATACTGTGATTCTAGCATAGAATGTACTTTCCTCTCCCTTTCTGACTTGTTTCCTTCCTTTAAATCAGCAGTTCTCAACCTGTGGGTCACAACCCACAGGAACTGTATTAAAGGCTTGTGGCATTAGGAAGGTTGAGAACCACTGCTTTAAATTTTTATATCTTCATAAAGCTTTCTTCATTACATAGTAGTTTCTTCTCTTAAGCTTATAAATTTATTGTCTTGTCTAGCTTTATCCAGAGGAAATATAATACAAGCCACATATATAATTTTAAGAGTTTTAAGCCCCACCTGTTGAGCTACCCAGGCAAGTAAAAAACATGTATGCTTTATATATTCCAGTAGCCACTTCTAGAAAGAAAAAGGAAACAGAAGAAATTAGTTTAAATAATGTATTTTATTTAATCCAGAACATGAAAAAATAATGTGTAATCAATATAAAAACATTAAATGAGATATTTTATGTATGTTTTGGTACTGTCTTGAACTAGCCACAGTTCAAACACTCAGTAGTTCACTCAGTAGTCGTATGTGGTTAATAGCTACCATACTGGACAGTGAGGGTCTAGTCTGGCATTTAGTGTATGGGTATGGAAAGGAGAGATACTATAATTCTTTTTGTAAAGAGACTTCTCTAAATTTCTCTAGTTTTCTTTCTTTTTTCATGAAGTCATTATACCTCATTGCTCTTTTTCTTTGATTAAAGGCAAAAGAGATCACACTATATTCTATGCCTTTTTAGCAGCGGTGACCTTTCTTTGTTGTTTCTAGAATTGGACTATTTTCTGTTTCATAGTCCCAGGTTCACTCACTCAAATAAGGTTCCTCTTGAATTTGAAGGAAACAAATATAGTTTTCATAATCACCAAAGTCATCTTCATCTTAAAAATTCTATAATCTGTGATTCATCTGAAATTTCTATAATGCTCCTGAGTTATCCTATTATTGTAGAATTTTTAAATGTTTTCAAGTTTGATAAGATTAATGTAAGTTATTTAAGGATAATTTCAAACTCACCATTCACTAGCTCTTTGAATAATACATGTATTGCCTACAAAAAAAAAAAAAATAGGTAATGTCAAGACTACAGAAGAACCTCCATAAGTTGACTATCCAAGGTACCGTAAACTGATCAACATACAGAGATGGTCATCATAAGGAACTAGGCCTACAGTATTGATATAGTTTGTGAAAATGGTCAACTTAAGGAGGTGGTCAGTGTAGGGAAGTGGTCAACTATGAAGGTTCCTACTGTATTTTAAATTAGTAAAAAGTGTTTAGAAATGGATTATTATAGGCTGGTGTGGTGGCTCATGCCTGGAGTTCAAGATCAGTCTGAGCAAGATCCCATCTCTACAAAAAATTAGCTAGGCTCAGTATCTCCTGCCTGTAGCCCCAGTTAACTTAGGAGGCTGAAGCAAAAGGATCACTTGAGCCCAGGAATGGGAGGCTGTAGTGAGCTTTGATCAGGCTACTACTGCCTGACAGTTTGGATAACATATTTGGACCCTACTAGGAAAGGAAAGGAAAGGAAGGAAAAGGGGAAAGGAAGGGGGAAAGGATTATTATAAATTAGTATAACTTAAAAGAATCCTGTTTTGATTTTATAGAAGGCAGATGATTCATAGGCACCTAAAATAATATAAATGGACTGGACAGATTCCTGTAGAATCCTGAACTCTCAAAAGCACAGTAGTAGAGTACCTGATGCTTTTTTATAAAGGGATTTAGGGAACTGCCAGTGGATTTGGGGGAAGCACTTACTAGAATACTATTTCTGTGATTTTCTTATAATGTATTAAAATATTTGTCCCAGAAATCAGACAAATCCTGCAGGCTATATTCAAAACAGCCATTAGGTCAAGGCTAGTTTTTCCCAAAAGCTTAGAATAAATTGTATGAGCAACAAAAAAATCATTACAGCATCAAGGAATAGTACATGCTTT